ATTCTGGTTGAGTAAGAGGGGGTTTGCCTCATGTTAATGGAGATCTGGGTCACTTTTGAAACAGCTTCACATTGAAGGGTTGAACATGGCGTCCACCCCAAACAAAAACGTAGCGGATCGTGGGGCCTTGTTTGCCCCCAAAGGTGCAGGATGACCCGCTCAAAGGAGGGAGGCGCCATGGGGTCTGCGCGACTTGCGCAAGCGATTCCTGAGCCCGTGGTGGACAGCAAGTCCAGATAGATTGACTTGACGAGCTGATATACCTAGACGAGGAGTGATATGAGGTGACCCTGAATTGGTAGTTCGGATTGGTGGTTTTTGGGGCTTTGAACCCCTGTTTCTTGTAGAGTAAACCAAAGCACCCATTAGAAGGAGAGCTGCTGATATTGGATCCTCGTATTTTTTGGTTGATATCCTTGGAACTCACGCAACCACCAGCTTGGCCGTTTGCTTCGACTTCGAAGTGTTTGGATGAGAAAGACAACTGCAACTGACACAAGACTATATAGGTTGCAACCTTAAGCTTCGGCCACCTGTTTGGTGACCTTACCCGTTTTGCTTGTTTACTGAATTCAAACCCGTTGCACCATGGTTGTAGGGTTCAACCCCCGTGAAAAGAATGGCCTTGGGACCCTATTTGGATGAGTACAATCCTTAGGTAGTGGTGGTTATAGGTACCCAACCATTGTTTGAATGGTGGTAACTCAACCCTAGGGATGGGATTCCCGCCAAGCGACAGGAATGGACCCCTCGGCAGGTGAGCACCAAAGTCCTGGGCGGCGCGGGCAAGATGTTCGAATGTGAGGAGAGCGGCTCGCTAGATAAGACTTTCTGCGGTGTTGCCAAGCCAAACTAAGGAGGAATCTCCCAAAGAAAGCATTTTTCGCAGTACACTTTTTGCAGAATGTTGAGCTTTTTGGGGGTTGGGCTCTTTCAGAGCGGCAGGAACGCGCCTGCGTGGGCGTGTGTGGCACGGGTTCGCGTCTGCCGGGCTCACCAACCTTACGGGTCACGGGTGAGTCCGGTGAGTTATAGTTTTTTTGCATCACCTTTTGGGGCCAATTTGCACCTAGAAGTCACTTTTGGTGGGGTGCTGTTTAAAGGGGAAGTATTGAGGGGCATGAAGATTGCGGATCTATGCAGGATGGGTGCTCTGAGTTCTTGCTCAGAGTTCCGTCTATGTCCGCTTTTGGTGGGCTTAACCATTGGGTATTTTTGGGGTAGAGTGATGCGACTGGTGTGTAATGAGGGGAATACTGGGACATGAAGAACCATTGGCAGGGATGTGTGGAGGGGGATTGTAGTCAGTACTCGTCACAATTGCCCTGCTATCTCCGGGGCTCCCTCTAATCCCTGCACTGCCATCCCGATTTCAGGGCCCAAAAAAAGCAGTTTTCGGGAAAATGCAGTTGCCAAAGGCCAATAATCAACATGTTTAGGAGATCGGCTGACCTGACTAAGCTAAAGGCCAAGAAGAAGTCGGACTTGTTTTTTTCCCCAACAGTCGGTCGGCTCAGTTAGCGTCAAGATCGCCACCAACTAGGTGCCAACAGCAACCATGCCATATCAATATCATTCAATGGAAACCGCAAAGGGATGTGTAAGGACATGAAACACCGAGTCCAGATCCTCCTCTTGGAGCAGTCAGCTCGATGTTTTTCTGCTTCATTCTTTGCGGCTTGATGTCCTTCCAATTGGCGACCTTTCTTTCTTCTTTGGTGTTGCATTTCTCATAGGCGACCTTTGTTTGGGAGCCGGTAGCTCTTCCTGGTTGTTTGGGGGTCAGTCGTTTCCTTCCATTCTTCTCAAAGCCGCCGGTTGTCCTTTCCATTGTATGTTTGTTGCTTCCCCTCGCAGCCTATGGCCACCTGTCGCAAGTCAACGCAAGACCTCGGAGTGTATGGTGCATATGCGTTGATAGAAGTGCTGTGTTTGTTGTATATAGTTCAATACCTTTTACAGTCCAGTTCGTAGACGCCCCCACATGAGCAGCGCTGAAAACTGCAGTTGTTGGCCATGTAGTAGGTGGTTTAATCAGTAGGTGGTTCAACTACCTGATTTCACAACAGTTGTAGTAGAACCTATCTACACCATTACACGCACCAAGCATCACCTCGGGATCGCATTGGTTCACCGCTAAGGCAAAGGTCTGCACAAAGCCTGGCCACATTGCGTGCGCTTTGCCCACAGACTGCTCAAGCAGGCGGGTGGGAGGGCGCTTGGTGTCCTTTGGGGCGACCATCTTGTGGTGGCAACTCTTACCGCTTTGTGGTGACATGTTGGTCTTGGGCGTTCTGTCTTTTTTGCGCAACCAGAGCGGCAGCGTTCATCGGTATCCCTTTTTCCCACCCGGCTTATTCTTGAACAGGCCCAAGCCTTCCATAATCTACGGTAAGGGCAACAAAAGAACCCCAGGTGATGGCCGCAGAACCCAGTCAGTGCCAGGGAACAGATCTGCAAAGATGGGTGTTTGCCTTCTTCTAGATTGGCCATTCACTTCGGGGTCACTACCGGCCTTTCCTAATCACCATGCGGTATTAACTTTTATAGACATGTGTACATGTATGTGCCAGTCATCAGCTTGGCCATTTGTATTGCTAGTGGCGTGCGTGTGTGCGTCTGTGTGTGTGTGTGGCACGCATATGTGTTGTTCATTAAGTTTCTTCATCTAGTTGGTTGCAAATGCGTGTGTGTGTGTCTATAAAACAATAATATACGCGTTGTATTCATTTGCATATAACATGTAAAACATGAATGCACATAGACAAGCAAGCAAACAAGTGAAGGAATATATATATATATACTATTTATGTATAATCATACAAGCACGCTCATATCTTTTGTAACAGTTCTAAGATGGGTTCCACTACCCCCAAACCACTACCATATACCCTTTATATAGTGTCTAGTGGCCATACATCCCATGAAGCCCGGGGTAGCTTCGGTTTGGGGTAAGCGGAACCCAGCTTAGACTCGGACAATTCTTGAGCTGATGGGTGCAAGTGCCAAGCTGACACGGGTTCAGGCAGGGCAACAGCAGAGCCCAAGGGGGCTGGTTCGTCACTCGGGCTTCCCTCGGGCAGCGGGCTGATGCCATCGATTGGCCGCATCGACGTCGGGAGGTGCCGGTGTCCTGGGACCGGGAGGCCTTTGCGAACTCGGAGAGTCGCACCACGGAGAACGGGATCCCCAAGGCCACGGTTTGTTCCGCGTCGGTTTGCTTGGGTGTCGCCCATGTTGTTTGTTTCGTGGGTTTAAAGGGAACCCAAGAAAGCCAGGCAGTTTTTGGGTGGCCCAGAAAAAGGAGACCCAAATGCGGATCGAAAAGGAAAGCCAAAGCAATCCGAAGCCTGGGCCCTTCGTTAAGGTGGCAAAAGGACAAAAGGACATACAAATACAAGGGTCGGTGTTCAGGATCTTCTTTAGAAAGGCCGATAGAATGCCAGTTTCCTTGAAGGCTGATGAAGTGAAGTTGGTTTCAATGAATGGAAGACCTTCGGAATGACAGTTTTTGGAAGCCGGCAAGACGCGGGGAGAACTGACCAGGCATAACTGCTGCTTTTGCCTCCTCCCACCCCAGTTGCCACTTAAAAGGGGGACAGTGCGCCCAGTTGCTGGGCCCCCGACCGCATTCATCCCCACCCCGCCCACCCTTTTGGAAGACTGATTTTATGGTTGTTAGGCCAAACATCCCTACGTAAGATTCACACCCAAATGACCAACTAGCAAGCAACTGCAACGTTCACTCACTTGCCCAAGGCTGACCTTTTGGTTGCCACTTTGGGAGCTTTTGCTAGTCATGCCAACCCAAAACTCCCTTCCCCGCTTTCTAGACCTTTCTTTTTTTTTCTGAAGACCATGGTTGTAGTTGTTGCAGTATACGGAAAGCCTGACTTGTTCTGACCAATCCACAAGTGAGCAATGGTCATCACATCAGCATTGCATCCTGGTCTTTGCACGACTTTTTTACCACTTCAGGAATCAAGCGAGGTGAGCGGCCGATCCTTTGCCTCAGGAGACCGTCTTCTCGGGCAACTTGGTTTCAACGCCCTCGTGCTTGAAGCTTGGCAGCCACGGAACCGCGGGGACACGACCTTGTATGATTCATGTGTGTACATAGAGAGAGAGAGAGAGAGAGCGAGGTGATGTACACATATGTCTTTCAATGGCAGGCATGGTGTGTATAGGGCTATGTACATAATATGATTTATTCATCAAAAAGCGTGCATATACCTATGTATGTATATCTATATCGCAAACTATTCAAGGCTTTGACAAAAGCCCCGGCGCATCAAAGCTAAGCTGCTTAGACAGAAGGAAGAACCATTGTCAAACGTCGGGGGAGAATCAGAATCGCGCGTGTTGTTCCTTCAGACTTTTCCTTCAAACCTGCCCTGATTGCCCCAAGAAGGTGGATTTTCAGTATAGTTTTCCTTTTGACCTTTGCTAGAGAGCCTCAAGAAAAGGCCGGGAAGTCAGGTGCCCCCTGGTGGTGGCTTGGATTTGTGCTCTGGGGATCTGAACCCTTTGCTTCTTGTAGAGGCTCAAAGGGACCTCCCCCCTCCCCCCCCCCCCCCCGCCCCAAACCTTCAAGCCACCAAACCAAACCAAACCATCCCACCTCAACGCACTTCGCCAGAAAACTGGTGAGAAAGAGCCTAACCCAAACTCACCCAACCACCAAACCACCACCCGGCAGCTGAGGAAGAGCCGTGGCCAGCTGCTGCTTTTCGGGGATATGCTCTGGCGCCGGGACGGCGTGCCCTTGGAGTCCGAAGCCCCCGTCGCGGCCCACGAGATGCTGGCGCAGCTGGAGGAGCGAGCCGAAATGCGAAGCTAAGGAGTGGAACACATGGAGATAATCTGTATGTATATATGCTCACTTGCCCAAAGCCGACCTTCTGACCTCTTGGTTTTCCACTTTTGATCCATTTTTAGTAAAGGTCCCAAAAGGTTAGCCGTTTATCTCCTGGTCTTTTGGGCAAGTGAGTATGAATATATTACATGGTCAACCCCCCATGAAGTCCCCACATAGGTTTGGTGATATGGGGGGGGTTTTCATAGGAGTTGGTCCCCTTTAAACGGCGGCCGTTTCCTTTTGGCTTGTCTTGAGTACCCGCCAAGGGGGTCACCAAACACACGGAGTCGATCTCGGCTCAGTGGCGCCCGCTGGATTTCCCGGGTTGTTTCACGGCTTCTCCACCGGAAATAGGGTACCCCAAAAAGGTGTTCCTTTCAGGGTCATTGAACGGGGCTTTTACATGGAAGGTCTTCCTTTTTCGGTGCCCTGGTGGGGGTCGCAAAAGGACAAAGCAGAAGGAGAACCGTTGGTTTATTTCGGGGTGTTCCCACTTCTGACTCGAGTTCCTGGACTTTAACCAAAGCGTTCGGCCTGGTGGCCAGTCCACTCTGGAAGTGAGAAGCTGTGCAGTGGAATCCACACAGAAAAACCTGTCCTGCTTGCATGGCGATATGCCCGTTGATTTCATGAAGGAACACAGGTTAATAGATTGGAATCCTTATTCTTTGCTGGCGAGTCACTGGAAGTTCACTACTTCCTCAGCGGACCTGTCCCTGGGTTCCCTTGCCCTCGCCGAAGCTAGCTGTTCTAGCGGGGGTTCTCTAAGCTTCAGCATCTGTTCGGATGCCTGCCTGATTCATTCAGGCCCTCCCCCACTTGCATATTCCCATATTCTTGTCAATTGGCGAGTCCGAGTTCGGGTCTATGTCATTGGGCTGCTAGCTTTTGTTCACTCGCCTAAACCTAAATGTCCACGTAACTCATATTTGGGGATTTTGGGAATGCAATTGTCGAACCCACTTGAACCAACCCCAAAACCTAAAAAGAATGGGTACCGACAACCCCCCTTGGCACACCCAAACCACCAACCAGCTTGCTGGTGCTCAGTAGGAAATGTGGGAATGAACCGGGTTTCCTTAAAGGAAACCACCAGTTGGATGCTTTGCAAGGGTCATTCCCTGCCTATCACACCAGCAATCGCACAACCGCGTTCGCATTCCATTGAGAAGCAGCAATCGCACTAAACCGCTTTCACTCCATTCCCTACGGGTGACACAACGACCTCACACGACCTCACTCCAAATGGTGGTGTGTGTGGGGAGTAGCCCCCCAACAGAGCATCATGGGGGCTGGGGGGGAGGGGGAGGGAGCCCAAACAAGCCCCAAATAAGGCCCCATGAGAGCACCAGCAGCAACCACCACTTCAGGGCATCCGCTTTCCGCGGAAGCCGGACGCACAGCCGCAGGAGGGCGAGGGCACCTACCTGGGCCGGCGGCGGGGCTTCGGGTCGCGGCGCTGCATGCCGGGGGCCAACCGCTGCCACTGGGCGGTCTGTGCGGAGAACATGGGGCTCTCAGCCGGGGACCACGACGCCAGGCCAGTTGAGCCATGGGGCAAAATCCAAATCGTACCCCCAGTGAACATCCCAATCCCCACTAGAATAGACTAAAATGGGTGGTGCACCTTCCCCAAAATGGTACCATTGGTTTTGACCCTCAGCCAGTTGAGCCATAGGCAAAACTTGTTTGTAAGTGAAGGGTAGCAAGTTGGAACCTCCCAGCCAGAATTCGTTGTGGCCGCCTTTTTTGGGGGTACACCATTTTAGTACCAGGGTTTGATTGTGACTCATTTGGGGGGTACGTACAGGGACAAGGTACGTCAATGACTAGTACGCCAGTTCAAGTAACCCACTGAACGGAGACTTGTAACCATGGCTTTTGTGGGTTACAACCAGGCTTCGTAACCACTTACTAAATACCCCGCCCCTTTAAGTATGGTTGGGGGGTAACGGGAGGGGGAGTATGGTGGACGCTTATGGGGTCGATCTTGCCACTCGGAGGTGTTGCCAATCCTAAATGTCTAACAATTAGGTGGTGATGTTCACCCCGGATTAATATACTGTTCTAGTATGATGTGTTCCCTTCAAGTGATAACCCCCACCCGATCAGAATCAACCAGGGGCACTTAGATCCGGGGTTCCCATTGCCACATGTGGGTGTTTGTTTCGGGGAGGACTACCCTTTTTTGATTTTGCTTCAAGCCCAAATTAGAAAAGAACACCACCCTTTGTTTTGGTCCCCCCCCAAAAAAAGACGAGCCACTTGCGGTGATTTGTTTTTGTCGCGCCAAGTTGTGTGGTGCTTCGTCTCGCGCCAGGACCTGCCCGGCCTGCAGTGAGACCCGGGGCTTTTCCACTCTCTGCGCGTCCTTCGTCAACTCCTTCGAGCCCCTCGGGCTTTGTTCGCATGGTTGGACTGGGGGTAGGTGGGGGGGGGGGAAGGGGGTGATGGGGTGGGTTGGGTTGGGTCGGGTGGAGTGGGGTGGGGTGGGGTGGGGTGGAGTGGGGTGGGGTGGGGTGGAGTGGGGTGGAGGATGGTTCCAAGACAGCCCTTACCTCACGTTTGGGTTGAGTTCCTCCCAAATCAGGAAAAAGAGGATGGGTTCATTCAGCGAGTTTCCGATCCTACGCATGAGTGACATAGGTGTCCTTTTTGGCTGGGTTGCTTGAAAAAAAATAGAAGGCGATTCCTGGTTTGCCTGGTGGTTCCACCATCTACCAGGGCCATCTATTTTCCAGAAAGGAGACCTATGCTTGTGAGGCTACCCCAAGTTGGGGTCATTGAAGGGAAATCAAAGGAAGCACCATGGGGAGTCCCCTCGCTGGGGAGTGAGTCTTTTGGGGTTCAAGGTTCATGAGACGGCGAGTTCCGAGTCCCGAGACTTCCGAAATCAAGGAGCCATTTGGTCAGCCAGAGGTTCTCAAGAGAAGGATCCCCAAGAGTGGCAAGGGCTTCTACCTGGTGCCCCCCTCTACCAACCAACAAGAAAGCTTTGGTTAAAATAAGGGTTCTCAAAATGGTGGACCCCTCAAACAACCAGCTATGTAAACAGACACCCAAACAGGAAACGTTGCCATTTTGGGGGATCCCTGTGTTGGGAAACTCTCATTTGATCAACGCTTTTTTGGGGAGAGAATCGGTCGATGGTTTTCTTCGAGTCTTTTAGCCAGCGATGCCCTCCGAACTTGCAGCGAGCTCATCTGGGGCAAAGCGAGCGTCGACGGAGTAACACGGATCGGGGCATCAGGGTGCTTTCCGTCACCTTTGCCTTATGCCTTTCAAAAGCAGTTCAACCTCATGTTCAAGCAGGAATGGTTTTTAATGGAACTCCCCATGATGGCAAGCCAGGCTCCTTTTGGCAAGACTGGTTTCATACCTCAACCAACATGTATCCGGAAAACTTCCACCCCTCCTGGGACTTGGGGGGGGGGAACGGCGGCAGGTTCCAGCTGCCCGAAATGACGAAGCCGTTGGTGGTGGACATCGAGCTGGAGGCGTGGCCTCTTTCGAGCTGAGAGGTGTCAAGGGGGATGGTTTCTGTCAGATTTGTTCGGTTTTCCGCGAATACTGTGCAGGGGTCACTTTGCCCATTTGAAACATGGCTTTTTCCAGCAAAATAAAGGGACACCACCATTTACAAGGCAATGTTCAGGTGTATAATGTAAGGATCCCTGTTCTGTCAGCTTTGTTCTTTGTTCCGCGAATACTGTGAATGCTGTCCATCCACATACCGTTCACTGCCAGCACCCCCCAACAACTCCAAAGTCCCAAGTACTGTCCAAAAGCAGTGCGAAGCGGGGGGTGATGGAAGAAGTTTGAGCAAACGGAAGGGGCTGAAGGGGAAGACATTGGCAGCCTTTTGCGTAACCTTTGGTTGCCTTTTTCCTTTTTGCGTGTCCTGTATTTCTCCTTAGATGGCAACAAGTCAAGTTGCTGGCCTGGCCAAGATTCGAAGGGGCGGAAGAATTACTTACATGATATCTTCCAAAAGGGTAGTACTAACTAGGTTGAGTTGTTTTGGGTCGGTTTTCTGGAGTGGGGCTGGGTGTACCCTGAGTATCTGAGGGGACGTGTGACAATGTCGTCTCTAACATGTTGGTTTTGAAAGTACTCATTGGCAACTCTGATGACGTTTCACCGAAAAATAAGCCTCAGCAGGACTTAGAACCTTAAAAGGTGTATCTTGTGTTGAGGCTATCCCTATTTTGGTGCCTAAGGGAAGCCACAGGGAACACCACTTGATCCCGTCGGAGATTTGTTTTTTCCTTGGCGGTTGACATAGGAGGCCAAGAAAAGGGTCCCGTTGTTTTTTGTTGTTTTGCGGGGACATACGTTGATTCGAATATCAGAGGGGTGCAAGCTTTCTGGGTATCAACGGAGACAAAGTCTCTGATTACACCCAGCTTTGATACTTGTGGGAGAGGAGGGGTGTTTTGGACATCAGGTGCAATCGGAAGCTACTAAGTCCCTGCGGGTGTGGGGCCTGAAGATGGAAAAAATGGGATTCTAAATGAACTCCCATCCAAGAAAACTCTCTCAGGGTAGAAGTATATACCCCTTGTTCATCCCCTTGGCTTCCCTAGATTCCAGCCCATGTTTTTTTTCTCAGGGGTGTCCTGCCCCTTCTGGGGAGAGGAATGAAAATCTTGACTTCCCTGGTTTCCATCCCACTTCTTCTCAGGGGTACTACCCCTTTTGGGGAGAGGGGTATGAAAATCAGCAGAACTGTGGGGTGCATTTGCACATAAGACTTAGGACTGCGGCGCTCAATGCCACCATTTGCACATGTTGCTTGTCCTTTTGCACATGTTGGCACGTTGCAAGCCAACCATGTTTCAAGGGGGACAAGCTCCAGGCCTTTGTCCTTCCGTTCCTCTTCACCTCCACTGACTTCGAGCAGCGCTGCCTGCCTTTTCGGGTTCTCGAGGAGGAGACTGAGCCGCTTGGATGACTTCATGGGTGTGGGCAGTCGATTTGGTTTTTGTTGGTTGTTGGGTGTGTCGGTGTGTGTGTGTGTGTGTGTGTGTGTGTTTTTTTTCTTTTTTCCCTGAAGGGGTCCCTTTAAAAGGCTGGTTTTTAAAGGGACGCCAAAAAGGCTAACCACCATTTTTGGTGGGCCCCTGAAAAAGGACAGACCCTCTTGTTGCATCTTGTTTGCTGTCATACCAGTTGGCATTTGTTTGTTCTCCGCCTGGCCGCTTTTGTTGAATGGTTCGAAGGATCCGGTTTTTTGCTTTTACTAGGGCTGGTTGGTTGGTTGGTTGGTTGGTTGGGTGGTTGGTTGGTTGGTTGCCTTGCCGCATCCCCGGCATCACCAGCCTCACTTGGCACGAGGGTTGCCTATTGGCTCTGATTAGGGAGACAGTTCGGAGTTGCTGGGGGATGGTTTAAATTAGGGGAGGACAACCAGTCCTATGCAAAAACCAGCCCTAGGAAGAAACAACACCTGGGAAAGCTAAGCGCAACGATCCTTTGCTTGTTTGAATGCACGGATCAGCAAAGTGCTATCCATGGGTTCTTGCCCCTAACCCTACCAGACCCCGAGAGTGGACGCAGGGTAAGATATTCTCCTGTAGCTTGAGAGACAAGGTCTAACGGGTTTGGTTGTTTCTGTTGGGCAATCTTGTTTTTGGCTTTGTTCAGTGTTTTTTTTGTTTTTGCGGGGCAGTGGGGTCCATATTTTCTGTAGAGACAGACCCACATTAAAACAGGGGCAGTTTCCCGCCGTCAGGATCTCGGAAGACACCTGGGGCGAAGAGGACATGAGCGACGGCCCGGACTGAGTTGCCCTCAAGTTTCAAGGCAGGGCTCCCTAGGATGCAAGCAAGCAAACACACAAATAAGCAAGCAAACACACAAACAAGTAAGCACGCAAACACACAAACACACACCAAACGAGCAAGCAAGCAAGCAAACAGACAAACAAACAAGCAAGCAAACACACCAACAAGCAAACACACAAAAAAAGCAAGCAAACAAGCAAACAAACAAACACACAAGCAAGCAAGCAGGTGTGCTTAGCTTTGTTAGGAATCGATGGGTTCCACTGGCCAAGATGGGGTTTATAAACCAGATAGGTCAGGGCCCTTTGGTTTGCAAAGGCCGCCTATAGAGGGAGCATGACAAGATGTTGGATTCAGAGTTGCTGATCTTCAGGCAGCAAAGAGATGTTTAGCAGCGTGATCCAAACTTGTGCTAAGAATTGGTTGTGCTTCTAGGGTTGATACGAGACTAAAATCGATTAAGCCCCAAGGGCAGAATTTATGTTTGGTAGGTCTGTCTCAAGACAGGTGGCGCTCTTTTGGATTGTTTGACTGGAAACCGAAAGATGACTTACCGTTTGTCAGGGTCCCTGATTTCAAGAGGCTCCCTCAAAGCTTCTTTTCTTTGGGATTCTTTCAATTCATCCTTCGACAAGACGTTGACACGTTGAAGAATCACACTTTGTACTACCGCTTGGCATCTTGCCGTACGCATAGTTTGGAAAATAGGTTCAAGTTGTCACGGCATTCTGTGATGCCCACACCACACACCGTGAGAGGTCAACATGGCCAGCTTTGGTATCAGAAAACCGCCGGCCCGTGCCATCCGCCACGCCTCAGGTTCGCAGGACAGCGCCTGAGATCGCCGGTAACGTTTCGCCGGAAGTCAGCAGCCTCCGCAGCCTGTGCGCTTCCATTGGTTGGAATGTGGACCGAAACTGGGGATCTGGCTAACATGTCAGTGTGAGAAGACCCTCATTTGCGCGTCTGTTTGGAAACCTCCAGTCACATGCAGTTGGGGTGCCCATCATTTCCAGCAGAGCTCAAAGCTGGCTCCGTTCGAGCGCGCGGGACATGCGGGACGCAATCTGAAGATTGCGCGCAGGGAGAAAGAACGACCGGCGGAGCATCTGTGTCCTTTTTCAGGTCATGTTGGTTGAAAATGTAGTTCTAGACCTTACCAGTGGCAATTTTTGTTTTAACAGCCACTTGGACCAATTCAGGTGAGCCACGGTCGACATTCACCGACGGATGGTTTGGCAAGCACACAGCTGAGGGTACACTAAAGGACTATTTGCCCACCATGAATGTGTTTTTTGCGTAGGGCTGTGCTTGATCAAATCTGAGCTGAACAACTATCACAAGGCAACTATTCACAATCCATAGTTTCTTTTTTCTGAATAATTATTATTCAAGTATTCAGTATGTTTTCCCTGACGGCCTTGATAACGACAATGGCCTATTGACAGCGCTTGCCCAAAGCCGACCTTGTAACCTGTTCCATGTTGATCTTGCTTTGTCACATGTTCACAAGTCTGTCCCATGGCATGTTTGAGTTATCGTTGTTTGTCTTTGAGGGAGGGCGGGAAACAACGCCCTGTGTAGTGTTCAAAATTCACAACACTTGCTGCAGTATAAACACACACACATATACATGTAAGTTGCTTTGTTTTTTTTCCTTTTTCCGGGGGGGGGGGGGGGCTCGAACGCACTTACACGCCGAAATGAACATATCCAAGGCTTTCTATTTAAAGGGTGGTGATTGTCTGGGGTACCTGTGATGGTCCCTGCATAATAACTGTATTGCTCGTTCTTTCATTCAGATTTGTGTTGGTATGTGCCTTCGGAGAACGTAGGATCTTAGATTCGGTCGGACTCATGATGCTGATTTTGAGGAAGGTATGTTGATTGCAGTCTTCCTTGCAATTTCCTTGCACCATACCCTGCAGAGAAATAGAACCCAGAACTGACATGATTCAAACTTGCAGATCATTTGAACCGTGCCTCATAGCTTGGAAAGGCCATTCCTTGCCTGAGACCTTCCCCTCTCCAGGCCATCCCAGCGGCCTCAAAACTCGAAGGGATTGGCCCAACCCTCCCCAGCCTCCCAGCTCCCAACCCCCCACCTCCCCAGCTACGCCACCCCACCCAACCCAACCCCCACCTCCCACCCCACCCCACCCACCCCACCGCACCCACCCCATCCGGGAGGCGGCGCCGGCGCCCTCGCTGGGCCGGCGCCTGGGCCGCGCCCTGCGGAGCCGCCTGGTGGGGGAGCTGCAGAGCCGCACCGAGGCGCCGGCGCCGACTCGGGCGTCGCCGGGGCAACCCCCCAGCGAGCGAGCGGGGGAAACCGAAGAACGTCCTGTTGCTGCAGAATATTCTCCCTCCCTGAGTTCCTGGACTATATATATATATATATTTTTGGGACGACCAGTTGAGTGGTGACTAGAAAGCTAGGACTTTGTTTGGCCAGTCCACTCAGGAAGTGTCTTCAAGCTTCCAGGCTCACGGTGTTTGGGCATCGTCTTGGACTTGAGTCAACTGGGTGTTGCAAGGGGCAGAAGATTTGTTTCCTGTCCATGTTGGGTTTTGCAGAAAATCTATGACTATTGGACATATGTGTTTTTTGTTGTTCCCAGGGGACTTGAGCAAATGGAGGAAGAAGGGGGGGGGCATCCTGAAAAAAGAAGCTCCAGGGAAGAATTGCCGGATAAAAACTCCGCACGAGAAAAGCCGCTCACAACCACCTTGAACCGAGAAGAAGAACCGCCCCTAGTAAACCCACCTAAGAAGAAGCACCAACGGGAAGGCCATTGAAGCTATACCGAGTACCCAAATTCAAGGGACGTGGGATTCCTGAGATCCTCTGGTTCTCGGCCAAAAGCCGAGGTAGAGTTTGGGCAGGTAAACGCCTTCGACTTGTAATTAGCTTCGACTCTGCGTTGGAAGTGCAGACCGTCAATGTCGGGTTTGTGAGGCCAGTGGAGAATTGGAGAAGCGTGCGCCAATCTTCGAGCATTTGCCTGATTTTCCCTGGTTCGGAGACGCTCCTTTGGATTGTACCTTTGTTGGTGTTGACAGCGCAAGAGACATAGGCCATTTGAGGCTGCATTTATTTTTATGTTAAGAAGGCTGGGTCCCCTCGCCCCCCAAGGGCTGTGCCTCTTCGTTTTGCTGTTGATTCGAAAGTGGTCGTGCTTGGAACTTCCTGAACAGACCTAAAAACTACAAGTTAGCCAGTTGTCCCTGGAAGTTCCCTTGAAGAAACCAACAAGTCACAAGTTAACCAGTCCCCGAAGGGAAACCACGAGTATACCAGTGGGGTTCAACTCCCATGAACAGAAATCGCCCAATCCTGAGAAGCAAACAATGGTGGTTGTGTGAACCCACTCCATTGTTTCAAGTGTTTTTGAATCCCAGCGGGTGGCTTAGCCCATTGTTTCAGTGATGGTATCTGAAGTTTTTAGGGATCGTCTTTGTAGGAATGGTATGGAACGGCGGTTTTTCTCCAAGGGTGGCTTTGTGCAGAATTTCAGTATCTGGATCCCAGGGACTGGACGGTTTTTTCTCCTTCCCAGTGGGCGTGGCTTCCCAGTGGCCGCTTTGACCGTAGGTGGACCTCCGTGACCTGCGGCTGGAGCTTCATGGCCTAGGGGGCGAGGTGATCTTCAGCACCTCGACAGAGGAACTCAAAAGACACCTCCACGGTTGTTGGATCATTGTTGTTATTTGTTTCTGTGTTTAGGTGTTTTTGACATTGTTCGTGGGGCTGTCTGCTACAAACAACATTTTTCTTCCATGCTTAGGGAAGAAGCTTTGTGGGGACCCCGGCTCTAGATAGAACCCGTTCTATTAGTGGTAGAACACCTTCAACAATGGCCTGAACCCCCCACAAAAGGAATTGAAGGAACACCCTCATCTCTCAAATTCAACCAGGGGTGTATGAATTTGGTCAACATTAGTGGGGACCCGTGGAGGGGTCGTTGTTAGATGTTCCATTCAGGATTCGGAAGTCAACTGTCCTGAAAAACCACATCCCCATTGCAACCCATCCAAACACAATTGTTGGTTTCCCCAAGTTCACCACGGGATTGGCTGTTTTTTTTTTTTGTTCCCTTGCCCCAAGACTTGCAGGGCCTTCAGCAGGCCCTATTTCGGGTCCAAGCCCTTACAATGCAGATGCAGGCCACTCCGTTTGTCCTTTTTCCGTTTTCGTTTGTGTTCCCAGGAAACATGGGTTTCCGACCACCCAAAACCAACATGTCCAGGTCTTGACTACCTTTCGGGCTGGTTGCAACTCGGTCATGCCGCAATGCCTTGATTGGGTTCTGATGGAAACGCGATATTCCAAAAACATAGCGTCATGACCCTAGATCATGGCTACGTGACCCTTTGAAAGGTATAAACGTAGAACATCGTAGAGCCCGAAAAAGAGGGTCTCCCAAACCGAGACTCCTGCACAAAATGCTTGATTTTGGGTTCTTGTAGGAAAATACTCACCCTGTGTGGTACACCATGCGGGGAGTACTTCCCGGAATGCGCACGAGGTATTGGCTCCTTGGCGCTGGAGCGGGACACGGAGGGTGGCGACACCACCGCGTGGTGCCAAAGGGGCGTCCGAGGGTTGGTGGGGAGACCCTTTTTCGGGGAACCAGCCGCCTGGAGAGTTTTCCCATGTTGAGCCTTACATTGGTGCGTTTTGTTGGGCGCATCATATGGCTGGGAAGTGGCGTCGCTTATGGGCGGGGCACAATGCGAACGAATCCTTCTCTCCTTGCACTGTGGCAGCTTGGTGGGGTTCAGGTTTATCCCGGAGACGCGATGCGAGTTGCGTGGCGTGTGGATACACCGCCATGCCACGATGCGGTTAACCGCGCGTGGTCATCCAGCGGGTCCGGATGCATTTGGTGCTGAAGCTGGAGATTGAGAAGCCCTGTGCGAGATGTTCAGCGGCCATCTCGTGCACAGGTGCATTCAGTTCTCTGACAAGGTTTGTCTCATTTGGGCGGTTCCCGGCCATGCAACCCAGCAATTGTTTTCCTCAAGGCGGGGTTGGTGGGAAGACCCTTTTTGGGAACGAGTTTTCGTTGCACCAACCCAACACGGCAGCCTGGAAACCACTCCTTGAGTTGGGAACCATGTTTGTTTAGTGTTACAACCACGTGGAGAGTGGGTGTTTGTTGGGGGGGATACTTTTGAAGGGCCGGGTTGAAATGGAAACCAAGAACCGAAGCCAATTCTGCCGGCTCCCCTAGTTTGCGCCATATATATATATATATATGTATATTATATATATTTTTGGGATCCCCACCCCCTCGAAAATGGAATATGAGGGGGGGCGTGAGGTAGGTTTTGGATTTTTTCCATTCCATGTTTGCTGGCTTGGAGGGGTGCGGTGTGGAATCCCGCGTTGGGGAGGTCCCAGTGGAAATTGGGAAAAAAAGCACCTGCGGGAGGTGAGGTGCTTTTTCCAATTTCGTGTCGGGGGGCAATTTTCCGATTGCTCTTGCAGAGCTGGAGAGGGGGGGCCGATTGTAGCATTTTCTACGGATACAAACACCTCCCCTCCCCTCCTTTCCATTTAAAAGGGAGGGGGAATCGGGTGTGGAAATCGGGGGGGAAAGGTGCATTTCCTGCATCCCGTCAAGCAAAATCCACCTCCCCCCTTTTAGGCGTCCGGTGCCGACAACCGTTTTTTTCTTCACAGGGATCACATGTGGACTTGTCTACGATGTTGAACTTCTTTGCAAGGTTGAGAGTTGGGCTGGCCAACGCTACGTGTTTGAGCATGTTTAAGACACTTCTTCGACAATGGTATGATACAGCCTGTTCACTGTGCCTTGGATTGTTTCAAATACTCCTGCCACGTCTGGCGTCGCCAGGTGGGCTATTTGTAGTATTATCGGTAAAGCAGCTGCATAGGTTCTGAAGAACACAACTCATTAGGTCAAGGTGCTGTTTCGCTTTCCCTAAGGGAAGTGGCCATTGGCAATCTGCACATTTGTAGGTGCCCAGACTCCCGGAATATTTTCCAAAAAGTGGATGGGAAAGTGGCAGGGTTGCCATGTCTCTTTTTGGAACCTCCAAAAGTGGCAGTGTTGTTGTTGAAACCCAGTAAACTGCATTTTTTGAAGGGGAAATCCTGTGACCCCTGAGTTGTTTTCCGAATTTTGCCAATTCGGCCCCGGGTTTTGTCGAATGACCTGAGGTGAACTTGGATTCCGTGGCAGTGGAGGTGGTCTCTGGAGGCGCAGCGTCAGCTTCTTGTGGGCCACCTGGAGGGGTTCAATCGTTTAACCCCTATTTGGGTGCGCGCGCATTTTGGGCTGGAGGCCGCTGCGGGGTTTTATGTTCTTTAGCGGGGACTCTGAAAAAGGGAACTTAGGCTTGTCCTCAGGGCCTTTGCGGAGGAACTCCAATCAACCATCGACTCAACGATCCCTAGTTAAGTTAGGCTCATTCCCGCGGTTTCCAGTGCGCAAGAAGCAGTCAGCACACTGGACCCAAGTTGACAAACGACAAAAATCCGCCGGAACCGTGGGCGCAGAGCATCAGTTTCAACTCTGGATTGTTTTAGGCAGCATAGGATGACAAGGGTAGAGAGCTGCTTGTGTTGCCTTTGCTTTTGATTTCTGCCCTTTAATTCCAGAGAATTCGGAGCAAGGCTGATGGTGCTTCAAGGGAGATCCAAGGGAGATCCAAGGGCGACCGTTTCCCCCAGCAAGCAGGTAATTACCATGCAGTACCACCAAACCTGTCAGACGCCTTCTGGCCTGTAGGGGTTGAACATGGTTGAAGAAGCAGCCATTTGGTGGTGCTTGTTTGGCTTTCCTTGGCCAAAACCCTAAACCATTTTTTTCTTGGAAGGCTTGACTTTCCAAGTGTTGTTTCGTTTTTCCAGCCATGTCAGGGTTTCAAAGCCTCAGTCGTCAAATCAGGCTGTTGCACATGAGGTTCGGTCAAGTTTGCCGGGAGTCTATGGTCAATTTGCGGTTCGGGACACAGGATATGTTTAAGCCCACATGCGCCATTTCCCAACTTCTTCCAAAAGGTTTAAACTTCCTAAGTTTGCGCTGTCGTCTTTGTTCCGGGAAAACTTGTTGCCCAAGATAACGTGAAATTAACTGGCGGAAACCCCAGGATTCCGAACCAGGATTACCACAAGGCTCGGTCATCATCTCTGATGATACACATGGCACATTCAACTGTTCTTTGCCGGTCCGCTTATTGCTGAGCATGTCGCATGCACACGTTGGTTCATCATCGCCTTTACTCGGTGCTAAAATCCGCCAGCATGAATCCACAGGAGATGGATAATTCCTTGATTGTTTGGGCAAGGTGTAGCAACTCCACCTCGAGGGTTGCAAATGGTTGCATTCTTGAGAGTTCCTGATTTCGGTTTGATGATGAAGTGATTCCCAATTCTTATCCGATCCCCACCCCCGTATCCAACACCCAGCTTAGAAAAACTTTTGATGCCGCCCAAATATATATACTGCCTTGATCCGGGCGACACTCCTGGGCCTCCAAGTTCGATTTTCTTGAGGGATCCATGACACCTTCTGCGCAGAAACGGCCCCATGTTGAAAGGGGCAACTTACATTTGAGTTGGCTTGCGCTCAAAACACTAATCAAAAGATTAGAGTGGATGAAGCTCGAAAACCGCGGCAAAGGCTTCTTTGGGTTTCAGGCACCCTGCAAATTGGTGTCCTCATTGTGTCTTCAAGGGCACGCTCGCCAAAAGGTCGGTTTCCTTTGGGTGTCCTTTTGGTGCCATCCAAAAAAGGGGCAAGCCCCATCTTGAGACAGATCTCAGGTTTCCAGCAACACATCAAACAGCCTACGGACATATTGCCACTGATTATATTTGCGGTAGTTGTCTGCTGCTTCTGAGAGGACGTGAGGGGACGGAACCCCAATTCCCCACAGGTCAGACAATCTCGTTTGCTACTCATATCCAGTACGGGTCAGTTGGCTAACTTCTCAACTCCCGAAGTTTCCAGGAGGGTTTCTACTACCTCTTAATCACCCCAAAAGACAAAGTTGGGTTGTGCACCATGCAGACCCTTTCTCAAGATACATATATATATATATGTATATATATATATATTACAAAAGTCCAAAGAGTTGTTCCAGTCAAGAGAGCCACACAAACATCGGTGTCGTTCGCCAGGTTTTTTTCGATTCTGAACAACCTCGAAGGCCGGCCTGTTCAAACACCATGTTTCATTGATTCATTCCAAAGGCGCTGACCCAACCAAGAAGCTCGGGAAGTTATAATATGAGCGCATGAGGTGAAAGTCAAGCCTCTGAGACCCTGTCACTTTCGGGCCAGGTGGCCACCAGACGCTGCTGGAGCACTTGGGCCTGCAGGCCATTCTGAAAGGCCGGGGACAGAAGCGCCACCGAACCCCTTGAGGTAGGGATGCTTTTCGGGCGTTTCGTCAGGGTCAAGGGTGTCACTTTACAACATTTCAACGCATAGGGCCTTATTGGCCAATGAACTCCCCAGAAGATGTTATTGACTTGCAGAGAGCGGGTTTCTTCAAGCATGTGTTGGTTTCAGGGTCAGTTTCGGGTGTTTGTCAGGGTCGAGGGTGTCACTTGAAACGTTTGAATGCACAGGCTTGACCCAGCTTGGCAAACCCCGACCAGCACAAGTTGGACGCTGGCTGCGGCTCTGTGAGAGTTGGGCAGCGCCCAAGCCTTATTGGCCAATGAACTCTGAAGATGAGCATGACTTGCGGAGAGCAGGCTTCTTCAAACATATTTTGGTTTCAGGGTTAGTTGCACATTCCATGCCATTCTGTGATTTGGCAGTGTGTTCCATTCTCCCTTGAATGCCCCCTGCCCGGCCAAGGATAGGCTTGCAGGCGCAGGGCCTGGCCCGGGTATCCCTGTTAGAGGTGTGCTTTCCAGTAGGAAGGGACTTGAAGCGTAAAATGCTAGTGCCCTCCCACCAGAAACGATTCCAACACTTCTATTTGTTGTGCTACTAACCTTTAATGCAAGCCTTAAGCCTTGAGGCAGACAAGAGTATTTGCAGGCGCTTGCACACGGCAAGGGCACAATCATTTTGGGAGAGTTCAGTGTGCCCTTCTGTTGGTTTAAAGGGAGCAGGAAAAGAGCCAATGCACACCAGGCGCGAAACCCCAAAGCCTTGGCACTGGAAGGATACCACGGTGGTCCACAGCATGGGCTCGAATGGCCGGTTCCATGTTAATTGGTGGGAGGATACCACTTGCCTTGCGATGTTCTTTGAACCCTTGTTTGCTGGGATATTTACCGGGGCTCCATGGTATGTACTAGCCGTATTTGCCACTTGCTTTCTTGCGATGTGGCTGTGGGTCAAAACCAATGGTACCATTTTTGGATAGGTGCACCACCCATTGTAGTGGGGATTGGGGATGTTCGCTGGGGGTACAGGATTTCCCATAGCCACACGGCTGTGGGTCACAAATTGGTACCCATGGGTTGCTCTGGTAAATGGACGCATGGACCAAAACGCAGGGTCCTTTGCCGGGAGATTGGTGTTGACCCATGGCCATGTTGGTGGAACCCCAGGTGGCCAGGAGGGCGAGACCCAAGAGGAGGGGAGTGGGCAGAGCTTTGTGGTTTGTCCGCGTGTTTAGTATGATGGATGATGGGTTTCTGTAAGGAGCGCCGTTTTTTGTCGGGTTTCTGTAAGGAGCGCTGTATTTATTTTAAACCGTTTGCGTGCTGTTGGTTTTTAGTTTTACAAATTGTCGCAGCCTGCGGCTTGTCGTGCCTGTTGCAGCTTTTCATGGCTTTCCATGGCCTCAGCCAAAACCAACACAGCCCATTGCAAACCCACCCAAAACTTGCATACACGCAATACCAACCTTAGCACCGCCTGATTTCTAAACCAACCCTGAACCCACCCTAATCCACCCTGAACAAACGCTTAACTCCACCCCCCAACCCCATGCAAAACGCACTATGAACCCATTCCACACCCAATCCCTTAGCCAAGCTGAGCCTAACCAGGCCCAGATTCCCGAACCCAAACCAACCCTTCACCCCTACCAGCCTTCAGACCAAGTTGAGCCAGCCCTAGAATAAATTCCTAATTTCAAAAAACAAAACCCCTTAAGTCGGGGATATCTCAAGCCCACCTGAAACCAACCCCTCCCCTCCCAGCCACGTTGCCGCGGAACCCAGCGGAGGCCCTGACTTGTGCATTTGAGCCACCTAGTTAGGTTCAAGGTGGGAGCAGGGAGCTCACTGTACAGCATCTTTATCCTGTGAATGCAAATCAGTGGACCTGTTCTTGACCCATGCACTGCATTTAGACTTTGGGGGGCCTAGAGTGCTGCTTCCAGCGGTTTAGCGCTTGTTGATATCTTCCGGTTAGTGCATTCCAACCGCTAAAACAGACATCGGCAAGGGTTGCACCTCTCTTCTGACGTTCGGGTCATTGGGTTCCAACTGAGACGGGTTGATTACGCGAACGACTCTGGCCAAAAGCAGAACTTCTGACACGAACCAACGCTCATTGCCAAGTGAGTCGGCAGATAAGAGTCTGACCCCAATTGAAAAGGGAGCCTCTGCACGTCCATGCGCAGTTATAGAGGCTTGGCCCGTTTTAGGACAACGAAAAGACACAACAGCATTTGTTTTGGTGTCCACACATTCCACATTGTATTCTGATACATTCCAATATGTTGTTTCTTTACTTGTCCATTTGTCTGATGTTGGGGGGGGGGGGGGCGGGGACACAAGAGTCACCCATATCCAATAAACTGGGCAAACCCCTTCCACCAGGGTTTGGGAGTTCGGGTTCTTCCCTTTCGCTTCTCCCTTTCGAACAAGCTGATGCTCAAACAGATTTCGATCAGCCCTGGCGAGGGTTTGGGTTGTTTCTAACACATGCTGTATGTTCTTGAGGGTGCCCTTTGGTTCGGTTCAAAAGGACGCCAACCGGAAACCGAAAACCCGCCGTTTTCTCGAGCCTCTTCGGTTGCACCCGGCGCCGACCTCTATCTCGAGCCAGGACACCACGGAGCTTCAGGTGGTGCTCTCAGAGATCACGGACTTCCCACCGCAGCTGGCGGCCACGCCCGCGGCCCTCCAGGCAAGGGCTTCGTTTCGGGCTTCTCGCGCGGCGAGGAAAGGCGGCACAGGGGTGGCTCTCTCTCCCTGAGTTGCTGGACGCTTGGTTGCTATTCAAATTTGGGTTGGATCTTCAACACCTTCGACTTGCTCTGGGCAAATTGTACCTGGAGATTCAAACGTCAAGGAATTCCTGGTCATTCTCGGCATTGACTCTGTTTTGGACGCAACCGCCCGCAAATTACCGCAAACGCCTAGAAACAGGAAACGCCCGCAAATTGCCGCAAAACGCCCGCAAAAAGGGGCAAACGCCCGCAAAAAAAAACGCAAAAACACGCAAAACGCCTAAAACGCCTAAAACGCCTTGAGAACCAGAACGCCTAGGAATTCCTCGGCATTGGAATCTCCAGGTATGATTTGTCCACTAATTGACTAGCTTCAAGTTAAGGTGGCCAATCGTGTAAAGTGTTGAATACCCAAGAAAGGATGCCAGGCAGGGAGGTCAAAGTTTGTTTCAGGTCCCCTATAGTTCAGAACCTAGCGTGGTTCGGCCTTTGGGGACCAACAACCAGCAAGTCTGTTGCAGGAGTTGCAAATATGTTGCTTGTGGCTCATGTACATAATATCTTGCTTTAGGCTTGACATGGATTCCTTCATAAACAGGAGGCACGGGCGAGTCCCTATACAGTAAATGATGAAGTCTGGGGACCCTCTTAGCCAAACAGCCATTTGCGGGCCTTTTTCAGAAAGCACTCAGGTGAATGTAAAAGGGGGGGGGTTCTTTTGGTTTGGACGAGTCTTGTTCTGAGTGCACACCAAGTAGTCCCGGTGTTTTGTGTCGGGGAGTGAGTGTGAATGTACATCGCTGAGCCCTCGCGCCTGATGGCCTTGACGGCCTGAGTCGGATTGCTCGTATGGTTGCCTGTCTTGGCTTTTGGGGACGTCTCCTTTCCACGGGGCTGTCTCGCGCCGAGTTCCTCCGCTCTCACGGAGCGAACCGCCCGCTAGGTGCTGAAGGACCTGGTGGATGTGCGGGGACCAAGGGTGCCAATGCCTCCCGAGCGATTGAGGGCCCTCGAGCCGTGCTTTCCACAAATCCCTTCGTGTTCATGTGGGGGGCCTGGGACTCACTTTGGTTCAGGTTGCCATGAAATTGCTGTCTGCGATTGGTGTTCAGCTAGTTTAAGAGGAGAGGATCATTAGCAATTAGTGTTGCCAAGTGGAGGTGTTTGGTTTCTGCGTGCAGGTCTTTGAAGAAGCGCGATGGTCCCCAAACATGTGAATTCGTTTAGACGCCACAAAGTGGCGCCTAAACACAGTTCCAGTTCAGCAACCAAGCTATGTTCATTCTGCCAACAGGGAAGGATGTTCAAGCACGCTCCAACATGCACATGGATATAAGGTTGTTTTGTTGTTGATGCCTGCTTTAACATCTCCACTTCCTCGAGCCGATTTGGGTGTCTTCTCGCTTGTAGGTTGCCGCTGTGTGCGAATGACCAAGGGAAGCCTAAGATGGTGGCCTCGTCAACTCAACCACTAACCTTGCGTGGCAAACATCAGCTTCGTAGCTTCGAGCATGTGTGGGGAGCTTCGTTTTCTAGACGTGCTATATCTACTTGATTACGCGTAGTCACAGTCAATTGTTGGTGGAGCATGTGCCCAGCAAACAAAGCGAGATGTACAGGGTAAAATCCACGCAACAGCCGGGGAAGGAATCGTCTGTCTTGGAGCGCCGGCCAAAAGATATGTAGAATCCAAAGAGGCAACGGCTGAACCCAAATGCGGGACGCCAAGCCAAATTCACATTCTGCTTGCCAAGCTGAAAAAGCAAGTGCCAGGACCCCCAATGGCTCGCAAATAACCCCAAAACAGCCATTGAGGTCATTCCACAGACCATTTGCCATTGGGGTCCTGGTACGGGTCAAAGTTCACCACCAGGGGACCGCAGGTTTGAGTCCTTGTTTCCATTCCCCAGGCCAACCCATTTTGAGGGTTACCCGATTTTTGACCCACAGCCAAGTAGCTCTGGTTTTCCCCAGAAAAAAACAAGTGAGTAACCAGCTGCTTTTCAGTGTCGATTCATTTTTTGGGTGCTATGAGCCATTTTGAAGAACATCTGCTGGAACTCTGGTCTCTCCAGGTTGTGGCCTTGCGCTGAGGCGTACCTCCAGGGCCTCAGCGCCGGCCGCGCGCTGCTGCGCACCACCCTGAAAGATGCCCCGGAGCCCCCGCTCACCCGCGAGGCGGGAGGTCCCCGAATCCGCGAATCCGCGGAGGATGTTAGGGGAAAAAATGGCCAGCGGAAACCTTTTTTAGGTGATTTTGTTAGAAATAGATGGCGCTAGTTTTGCTTGGTTTTACGCCGTTTACCAGGCTCAGGTTTTTTTTCCCCGAAGGTCACCTATGCTTTTACTGGGATAGGGTCGTACTTATAACTTGAGTTATAAGTTACTACAAGTGGACTTATAACGTGGGACAAGTGGACTTATAAGTTTGCTAAGTCCGAGTCCTAGTTATAAGTTACTTGTCTAGGGTTAACTTAGATAGGCCCACTTATAAGTTCGAGCTAAGTTCCGGGCGCCGGGACTTAGAATGAACTTAGCTGGAACTTAGTCTTTTTGCACCATTTTAGGAAAACAGCTTTTTGGCATCCAGCGTTTGCGGAGCAATGCCCAAAACGAGTTTGCCTCGCTGAGGCTTGACGCGCGTCCTCATGCGAAAAAAGCACGCGCGCTTTACTCCTGACGTGTCGCAAAGCACATTGCTGAACACGAGTCCAAACCTTACACCGGGCGATGCGTGCGTATATTTTGTCGAATACGACAGGTCGGCATATCTCCATATCGCAGCGGCTGGTCGGCTCAGACTGCACTCGCGGCTGGCCCGCGCAGACTGGTGCGCTCAGACTGCACTCGCGGCTGGCCCGCGCAGACACCCAGCGGCTGGTCCGCTCAGACTGCACTCGCGGCTGGCCCGCGCAGACGCTCTGCGCTCGCGGCTAGCCCGCGCAGACTCACATCGCGGCGGGCCCGGTCATATAGCGGCGGGCCCGCTCAGATTGCACTCGCGGCTGGCCCGCGAAGATCCACAGCGGTGGGTCCGCTCGAGCTGCAGTCAGACTCCAGATACAGACTCCAGACTCCACACTCCAGACTCCAGACTGCAGAAGACTCCAGACTGCAGACTCCAGACTGCAAACTCCAGACCGCAGACTGCAGACTCCAGACTGCAGACTCCAGACTGCCAACTCCAGAATCCCGACTGCAGATTCCAGATTCCAGACTGCCAACTCCAGACTGCACACTGCAGACTGCAAACCCCAGACCGCAGGCTCCAGATTGCAAACTCCAGACTCCAGACTGCAGACTCCAGACTGCAGACTGCCAACTCTCGAGAAAAAGGACTGCAGAGAGACTCCAGACTGCAAGCTCCAGACTCCAGACGGCAGACTGCAGACTCCAAACTGCCAACTCCAGAATCCAGACTGCAGACTCCAGATTCCAGACTGCCAACTCCAGACTCCAGACTCCAGACTGCAGACTGCCAACTCCAGAATCCAGACTGCAGAGCCCAGACTGCAGACTGCGGACTTCAGACTGCAGACTCCAGACTCACACTCCAGACTGCAAACTCCAGACTCCAGACTGCAGACTCCAGACTGCAGACTCCAGACTCCAGACTGCAGACTCCAGACTGCAGACTGCAGACTCCAGACTGCAGACTCCAGACTGCCAACTCCAGAATCCAGACTGCAGACTCGAGATTCCAGATTCCAGACTCCAGACCCACAATGACTCCTGACTCCAGGATCCTGATCATTTTGTGGTGGAATTCGGCCACGGGGCCAAGTTAAGTTATGTTAAGTCGTGGTGACGCAACTGGGCCTCACGGGGAAAGTTTGGCAGTTAAGTTGATTGAGTTACAATAGGGACTCCACGGCTCCACACGACCCGCCCAGGTTAAGTTAAGTTAAGTTTTGTTAAGTTCGAAAAAACTGCGCCGGCCTTTCCGGGCTTTGGGGCGGGGCTGTCTGGATGCTGGATTCTGGGGTCTGGACTGTGAATTCTGGAGTCAGGAGTTTGGATTCTGGAGTCTGGAGTTTGCAGTCTGCAGTCTGCAGTCTGGAGTCTGCAGTCTGGAGTCTGCAGTCTGGAGTCTGGAGTCTGCAGTCTGGAGTCTGCAGTCTGGAGTCTGCAGTCTGTCTGTGGAGTTTGCATTCTGGAGCCTGGAGTCTGCAGTCTGGAGTCTGCAGTCTTGGTTCTGGAGTTGGCAGTCTGGAGTCTGCAGTCTGGAGTCTGGAGTTTGCAGTCTGCAGTCTGGAGTCTGCAGTCTGGAGTCTGCAGTTTGGAGTCTGCAGTCTGGAGTCTGCAGTTTGGAGTCTGGAGTTGGCATTCTGGAGCCTGGAGTCTGCAGTCTGGAGTCTGGAGTTCGCAGTCCGGAGTCTGCAGTCTGGAGTCTGCAGTCTGGAGTCTGGAGTTCGCAGTCCGGAGTCTGCAGTCTGGAGTCTGCAGTCTGGAGTCTGCAGTCTGGAGTCTGCAGCCTGGAGTCTGCAGTCTGGAGTCTGCAGTCTGGAGTCTGCAGCCTGGAGTCTGCAGTCTGGAGTCTGCAGTCTGGAGTCTGCAGTTTGGAGTCTGCAGTCTGCAGTCTGGGAGTCTGCAGTTTGGAGTCAGCAGTCTGGATTCTGGAGCCTTGATTGAGTCTTGCAGCCTTTCATCCGCGCACTCACACTCCAAACATGCAAAAAATCGCAAAGTGCCATCAGACCACCGCTTCAAGTGCCATCTCGAAATAAAAATCAACGCCGAAAAATTCCTCGGCGGACCAGCCGCCAGCGGACAACCGCTTCAAGTGCCATCTCGAAATGAAAATGAACGTGGCAAAAATAGCTTGGCGGACCGGCCGCCAGCGGAACCACCGCTACAATGATATATCATCAAACGAGAAAGCAAAACGGGCGGACCGGCCGCCGGCGGAGAAACCGCCCCATGCGACTATATTAAGGCGGACCGGCCGCCAGCGGAGACACCGCTATAGAAACGATTATCGCACAACAACATTCAACCGAGTCAATCAGTGCAAAAAATTGCTCCGGCTCCATCGAGCCAAGCGTGCGAAGCAGCGCGAACAAACAGCGTAAACTGCATGTGCGCGCGCCTGCCCTGCTGCGTTGAGTCACACGAAAATGTGTGCTTTCCAGCGCGTAATGCTTCATCACTGCCATGCTTCAAAACGCATGTGTTTGCCAACTCAATGAACTTAGAATGAACTTAGCGGACTTAGAAAAACCTCTTTTCTAAGTTCAAGATGAGTTACTTATAAGTCCAAGCTAAGTGCTAAGTCACTTCTCCAGCGTAAGTACGACCCTATCCCAGTAGGACTCCAAGCTGATGTTCGACATCAAAGATAGTGCTGCAATGAATTGCATGGACCATCGTTTGCGAATGAAGGGCTGTGCTACCTGCTCCAAACTCGCTTTGGGGGGCGCAGGTGAGCCACAGTTGTGCCTTTTGTGTGGGCGGGGAACGTCCGGGGTTTGTGGTCGGGAAGCTGAAAAACTGTGAAGTGGATACCGCAGGCTTACTTCAGGCCGCGCCTCAGGGCTTGCTTCAGGGCCTGCGGGCCAGCAGAGAGAGGGAAACGCGACGCCCGAGAGCCTTCTGGCCGTGTGTGCGGCCCTCATTAATCCATGACCCCTCCTAGAAGCGCCTCATTGACACTTCCCAAAGCCACGAGCTTGCGAAGCTTGGAGCTTCCCGACTCCCGGACCCCTTCAGGCCGCGCCTCAGCGCTTGCTTCAGGGC